TTTTGTAAAACTTAAATGGCAATATTTATTCTGAATAGTAGCCAGTTAATAAACTTTTCACTTAATATTATGCTGTTTGAAACAAAATTTTGGAAGATTTTATTACTTATTTTTCAGATTCAGGTAATTTTTCACTTTATTCTAATGTAAAATTAGATTAGATTAGATACAATCTTGAAAATGAGGAGGAAGTTGTTGCCTGTCAATTAATTATTTTAAAACAGTAGATTTGAAAGCAAATCAGTTCTGTAAACTGTTGTAATGGTTGTCTAACTCATAACACAGATCCCAATTACAGACACTATTAAAATTTTAGTCATTTTTGTAGATAAGCTTTATGATGGTTTTGGTTGCCCAAATGTACTGTAATTTCAGATGAATAGAAACAAAACTTCAAGAAATTTTGTACATACCTGACAAAAAAACTAATCAACAAATCAAAAATTTCTTAATGCCATCTCTTTTGACATTATTTTTTAAAGTACTAACATTATGTTTCATTAGGCTAAATACCAGTCTTGTTTGACAAACTTTGTTGGTGCCATATTATGCAAGATTCACTTTATTAAAAATTTATGTTAGGATATTGTCCTTACATAGTATCATTTCATTAAGATTTCAATCTTTCAAATGCTTCTTTTTTTAATTATGGATCTTTTTTTAGAGTGTAATGATTTTGATTTTGTGTGGTGAATAGAAATGCAACAAAAAATGACTAAATAGTAGCTAAATACATTTGTTTGTATCCTTCCATATTGGTCTTGATTTATTTTAATAAGTATTCTTTCTGTTACACACTGTAGTGAAGATGTGTGGAAAGGAAAAGAACTCAAGCAGAATGTATTTGACTGAGGTCTGTCAAATTGAAGATATGACAGACTTCAACAAGATAAGACTATGTAGAATGAGATTTTTGGAAACAAATGAGAAATCTTACTTCATATATGGGAATGTTGTTAGGAAACATTGTTCTTATTACCAGCTTTACAGCATGCTTCAAAAACATGATAAGCTTTCTGATGACTTTAATAACTTGAGCATATTTTTGTAAAAGCTGTTTTCTTTCTGTATAAGTTCTACAATGAACATAATATAAAGCCTAAGTACCTAACAAACATTTTTTGCAAAGAAAAAGCATTTCCTTTTACCCCTCTAGTTGTAAAATATAAACCAAACATTACTTTTAATTTACTAACTTTTTTTCATCCCATGGGTATAAGGTGAAAAGAACATCACATAAAAAGAAAGGGAGAGGAAACCAAAAATAACAAGGAATTTAATTATATCAGATATCATCTAATGAAGTTGTTGAAGAGAATAAGCCTGATTTTTTTAAACACAACTAATGTAGTTACATCATCAATATTATTGGAATTATACAATAATTTAGTGAAGTATTTTTATTCATCCAAAATTACAGTACTTCAGAAAATGATACTAAAGTTAGTTAGCTCTAATAAAACAGTGAGCAAAATTAAACACACGTAAATTTTCTATGTGCACTTAAAAGTACAATGCTAATAATAAAACAAATTAAATAGCTTGAATTTAAAGTCATTTAGTAGTTCTTACGTGCATATTTTATGTCATACTGTCAATTCATTTTGCAGACCGTGCTGCAAAATTTCATACAACTGTATATTTTAATAAATTATTTAAATATTTTTCTAACAATTGGATTATGTTTAACTTATTAAGATTATCAATAATTTAGTATCTGTATTATTTGATATTACATTTGTTTGTTCAGATAAATCTCAGAGAAAACAAAGCAAGCACCTCAATTTAAGGGACTATTTGGGAAAGGCCTATCCATTATTGCCAAAATTCTGTTAAATCGAATCTGTTTTTAAAAACATATATTAACAATGAACTTACAACATACAGGATGTATTAAAATGTTTTATTATAAAAATATGAATAAAATATTCTCATAATGTACAGTGAATGATTTATACTCATTGACCTATCTTATCCTGTTCTGTCTGTGAATAAATAAATGGTTAAACATTTTTCCTTTAAAACAAAAATTTTTTTGTCTGTTAAATCAAGGGTCTACTGTACTTTAATACTGATGTATTTAGCTTTCCAATAGACAAATTTAAAGAAAGAAATTATAAACATCAGGTTCCTATATCATAGAAAAAGTTAAAGTGAAAAATGACCTGCTTAAAAACAAGTAAGATAAATATTAAACAGTTAGCTCTCAAACATATTTGTATGCATATACATATACAAAATTAAATAAATTGCAGCAATAATAAAAAAATTGTTGTTAAAGATATTACCACAAATGTATACAGAATTAATGAAGAATGTTTAAAAAATATTAATGTCATTAATGCAATAGCTAAATCATTAGTAAACAAGAAACACTGAAGTATAAACTCTAGTATATAAAATAAATTGTCTTTTTTTTAGATGAACATATGACAAAGTACAAACAAAACACAAGTTTTTGTTTTGAAATCTGAATCCACATTCTTAAGCAACATGCCAAATGTTTAATTTATCCGGAAAACAGATACTTTCTGCTCCCAGTATTTGGCATGTTACTAAAGATTCTGAGTTCAGAATTCAGCCCAAAACAGATATTTTTCTGTTTCCATGCTGTAATTTGAACCTAGATTATTTGCATATCAATCTTAGAGAATTTTTAGAAAACCTCATGAGATGTTTTGGTAATTTAGTTGGTTAGCACATTTAGTAAATCAACCTTTCCAAAACTTGCATATATTGATGATGCTATGCATAACAAATAAAAGTTTATAATAAAGAAAGATTACATTATTTTTTATTAACTTTCATGGCAACATCAATTAACATTATATATGATAGCACTCAGCACATTACAATTCAAAAAACATGGATTCAAATACTTGTTAATTAACATAATTTTTTTCTTGTTCGTAATCTTGGTTTCTTCAGTTTATATACTAGAATTTATACTTTCAGTGCTCTTTGTTTATTAATAAACAGTTGTAAACAATTATTTATTTTAATTTAATCCTTCAATGAAATAATAATAAAAAATAAAACATCTGGTAGCCTTATTTCTTCTCCGTCAATTGTACAAATTTATAGCAAAAGATGCTAAGTTGTCAGGGATCTGCAAAAAAAATTTCCTTGTTTAAGGGCTCCATTTTACCAAGAAGTTTGGCAAATCTGATCTACTAGACATATTAAGTAAAATAAAAAAAAAGAATAAGATGTCCTAATGCCAGAAAGTAGCAATAAAGACAATGATCAAGACGAAAAAAAAAAGATAAAAGTANTTGTTAATTAACATAATTTTTTTCTTGTTCGTAATCTTGGTTTCTTCAGTTTATATACTAGAATTTATACTTTCAGTGCTCTTTGTTTATTAATAAAACTTTTAATTTAAATGAATTAACATTTGTTTAATACTTTTCTGAAATAAACAAACTTTTAATGTATAAATAGAGGATTAACAAGATAAAAGCTAAAGTTTAAATTTTTCTTTAAATATTTTGTTCAGTTCTAGATACTTCTAGGTATTTATAATTTCTAATCACATAGATATATGCAAGAATAAACATAAATATAGTCTTCAGTTCATTCACTGAATATAATCTTTCTTGCAAAATTCACTAAAGTAAACAGAAATTTCAATTAAAATTCAAAATAAAATATAACATTACACAGAAATTAAGTATTTCAATCATTAATAAAACAATTTTTTCAGGATAATACTTAAATGAATTCTATAAACTCAAATTATTTGTATACACAATTACAATGTTATACATGAAAATGCACAGTGATTTTCAGAATCAACTATAGTGGTATCATCTAAACAATTTTATGTGCAGCAAAATGTTTAGTTTATATAGCAAAAGAAAATATATGAAAAGTCAAATACTGAATTAGTTTCTCCAAATAAAAGGCTTGTGAACACAGTTTTTCTGCACAGTTTGATTAACATCTGAACTGTGGAATAACCAGTTCAGAGATAATAAAAGTCAATAATTGAATATTAAATGAGGATCCGAGGGCCGCCTTTCTCTCTCTATAGTCGAAGCAAATATTAAATGAAAATTACATTTGATTTTAAGTTCTACATAAAGAATGAGGGGAGAAAATGAACAACATTCAAATCTCAAATATAGTTTTGATAAATTTAGGTTTTCATAAAAACATTAAACTTTATAAAAATCTAAACAAATTTTTTTATTATTGGGCTGCAAGTTGAAAAAATTGTAGACCTATAAATTCCCACTGTCATCTGTAGTTTGTCCATCTGCATGTTTGTTTGTCTTAATCTCAAGAATGGAGTTAGAGAGATGAAAGACAGGACCAGATATGAAAACCTTAGGGGTGGGAGACCCCTATTAACTATAAACAAACTTCAAACAGGAAGATATGTTATTTCAATTCAAAAATTTTCCCCTGAAAGGAGTTAGATAGATGACTGACATGATTGTTAAAGGAAAAGTATGATGTACAGGAGAAGCCACTAATTTGAGATAGAGAACATACATTTTAAATTAAATAAATTAAAATATGATTAAAAATTGCAGCCCAGCATTGTGAGATGTTACAATAAATAATTGCTTATTAAATTTGTATATTCTTTCTAATTTATTAAAAATATTCTTTAAATTGAAAATTTCCAAATGTTATGAAGCAGTGCAGGCTTAAAATAAACAAGACCTTTAAAAAATACAAACTACATTTATATAACATAGTTTTAAATTCTTTTTTCTTGTTAAAAAAAATTATATATATGTAATACACAATTTAGCAAGAAAAATTCATTGTGTGAATGGACTGAAAACTTTCTGTAAAGAGAATTTGGGAAAAATTTTGAATAATTTTCATATATAATGTTTAAAATACATGTAGAAAAATTATATATATATATATAATATATATAATTAAAGTCTAGTAATTTTATAAAATATATTAACAAAAATACTGTTAACACAATTATTTTATTCAGTTTTAAATTTCCATTCTAAGTATATATTTTAACCAGATAATTAATATTGTGATAAAGCTTTTGTTAAATAAATTAACTTGTAAATTTGTATATTTTTCTTATTTATAAATGACTTAAAATAAATTTAATTTGGTGATGTTTCTTGTGTCTGCAACATGAACTTTTATCATTAAAAGATTATGGAATTTTGGAACTGGGATTTACATACCACAGACTGTGAAACATTGTCAAAAACATTTTCACAACAATATTTGTAACAAAGATCCCTAATTCTTTAATTGTAAAAAATATATATATATATTTTTGCATCCATTTAATCATATCACAATTCTTTGTAATGGCATTCTTTTATCAATGGCATTTATGATAAATTGTTGAAAGATATATTTTAAATATTTTTGCGTTTTTCATAAATTCTTTCAAATAATGCACGGAGAATACTTCCTGGAATCTTCTGGTGAGTTTTTATTAAATTCTGTATAGCTTCTGCAGTCTATAGAAAGAAAAACAAAATCTTATTTACAAATAAGAAAAGCATAAACTATTAAATTGTTAACTTTCTCTTCTATAAAAAGTAAAACTTAATGAGTCTGAAATATCATACCACCATACCCTTTCAGAAACATGATAATGAAATTCACATTCAATGAAATTCAGTGAAAAGGATTTAAATGAAACAAATAGCAAAAATTATTGAGATAACTGAATCATTCGTTCAGCTACCTAAATTCCAAAAGTAAAAGTAAAAGTATAAAAAAATAAAATACTAAGTGAAAATATTAGACATTATGAATAATTACCTTTCTTGCTAATTCTTCAGGAGTTAAATTAGGATCAAAAGGAATTGGTTTTCCTATTATTGTTCTGAAATGCATTACAAAAAATTATTACATTTTCTATTCTTTATATTCATAAAAATACTTTTAAAAAATGCTTAGTTCAATGTTCTAAAATTTACAATATAAACAATCTAGATATCAATCATATTATTATCTATATTATTGTATATAGAAATTGCTTTGATAACTTATATGCAATACTCTCTTCAAAATGAAATATATCATAATTCTAATACATTTGAAATATTATAATTATTATTATTATTTTGGTTTTGGACACTTTTCATCCTGCAGGCCCATTGTGAGTTCAACCAGGTCCACATTGGTGCCGCATAGTATCAGGTGGTGACAGATGGGGTCAAAAATACCTAAGACAGATCACCCCTGTAAAATTTAGGGTAATCTGTCTTAGTTGTTAGGCCCTATCTCATTTGGGGTTTTTCAACTAACTAGATTTGATTCTGGGTCCCCAGAGCAGTAGGCTAATGCCTTAATTTGTAAGATTTGCAGATGGGAAGATGGAGGGTGTTAGACTTCTTCCTATCAAAATGAACAAGGAGTACAAACATATGTGGATGTGATTGTCAACACTGAGACAGTCACCTTTATATAACAAGCTGTTTATTTGGAAGACAATGCTCACATGTTTCAGGTTGAGAACTTCTCTTGGACAGAAAATAAACGTAGAAAGTTCAGATAAAGTGGAATGTTCACTGTTGTCATTTATCCAATGGCAATCAGATGGGGTTTCGATTGTAATTGGACAAAGTTTAAATGGCAATCAGTAGTTCCAGGGAAGACTGGCTGGAAGTCATGTAGTGCAGAAAAATGTAGCTGAAGCAACGAAGATGAAAGGAAAACTGACACAGAGAATAAACAGGCTGAACAAGGGAGAAGTGACCACAGCTTGTCCTTGAATCTCAGAATTTTTAAAGATTTTCTCCCCAAAATCCTGAATTTGATTGGTCCTGAATTTATTTTTCCACATTCTGATTGGTCCCTTTTCTGTTTCTAGGTGAAATTAGATGACCAGATCGAGTGTGGGAAAGTTCACTCTGTGTTTTTCAATTTGACACTTCTGTTTGACTTTGTCCACAACTGTTGATTGAACTTTGAAACTTTTGCTCATATCTCACACAATGATATTTTCTTTTCTGATACAAGATTTTTTTTGTGCTTTTATTACCTAAAATGCAATAGTTTTTCTTTCAAAGGAATGCTGTATTTTCTTGTATATTTCTAAATTTTCTCATGTTTACGAGTGTTGGAGTCAAGGCTCGATCTTTCTGACTGATATTCTAAACATTCCAACATGTTAGTTCATGACAACTTATGACCACACGGATCAACCATATTGTTTGTTTCATACCTTCATGACAGATATATTTCATACATTTTTATAACAAAGTATTTTCTTAAATGAATCAAACTTTTGTATGTTTAATGAGGATTCAGACTTTGTCTGGGACTTCACAAACCATCTTGTCCATCCCACTGATGAAATACTAATATTAGGTTTTATCAGTTTTACAATAAATTATTATAATTTATCTTTTTGTTTCTTTATTGATATTCAGTGAAAAACATGGAAAGATTGAGCACAAGTTAAATTATACAGAAATCATTGATGAATTGAGACTTAATTAGAAATAGATGTAAGCAGATAATTTATAATTAAAGAGAATAAAAAACCTGTCTAAGTTAGACAAGTCCTTGTAAATGAAGATAAAATAAATCAACTGAATTTTTTAAATAATTAAATATTTGCCAGTGAAATAATTATACTAATTAATTTTAATTCTGAACTGGGAGGCAGACAAATTCATAATAAATAACAAATAAAATAAAATTAAGAAAATTTAAATTATGATAGGAGAATCCCATAAGTAAAAATGCTTGAAAATAATTTTTACAGTTAATAAATGAATTTCCAGTTTAATAAATGATTTCCAAAAATAAAAATTATAAATTTGAATTAATCTCAATATGTATTTATTTCATTACATTTATCAAAAATGGGAATTATTGACTTAACAATATCACAAATAATTTCATATTTAATTATTCTATGGTTTATATCAAAATGCTTTTTTTAAATTAATTTTAGATATTCACATTTACATACATTGTAAATAAAACAATAAGTTATAAATATAACTTACCTTTTAGAAATAATAAAAATTAATAAATATTTTACGCAGTAAAACCTGTGCAAAGTGGAATATGAATAAACCAGAAATCTGTCTAAATGAAAAAATTTTTTCAGGATAAAGCAATTTTTTAATGTTAAATTTTACTTTGTCAGAAACCTGTCCAATGTAGGAACAGAAAAAATTTTTGGATACAAAGAACATAACTTAACTGGGATAAAATGGACAAATAAGTAAAATTGCTTTCAAGTATTACATAGCATAAGAAACAATCTGTATTGTGAGAACGATTTCAAATCTTGTCAGAGAAACAAAGATCACATGACAAGGGTATATACGGAGACAAGGTCTTTGTTAATATTAGTGTTTAATTTCAATTAATCAAGGGCAGAATTGACTACTTTTAAGAATTGAATCAGTTTCCGAGAAATGAGTTCTCAAGAACAAACAATGACTATAATTTGTGTCAACAATGAGAAATGAATTTGCCTTCTATGAAGTAGTTAGTAACTAACTGGTACAAAGTATTTGAAAATAAATTGATTAAAATGTTAGTAATTATAAAAATTAAAGTAAATGTTCATTAAAATCAAATATTGGCTGGCAGTATTTACATTAAAATATATAAATAAAATTTACTGAAGCTATAAAATTGTCTTTGTGTTCCAAGATTTGATTTGAATGACCTTTATTGTAAATTAGTATAAATTTTTTTAGTATTGGCATAATCACCAGAGGACATTTTTATCCATTTCGCATTTTATTGCAAAGGCAAATTTTCAGTTGTGGAGACAACCTTTTATTTGAGGCTGCAGCCTCAAATAAAAGGTCGTCTCCATAACTGAAAATTGTCTTTTGGAAGTCACTGATAATGACAGAACACAAAGACAATTTTGTAGCTTCATTAAATTTTATTTATGCATTTTAATTGAAAGTAAATGATTAATTTGATTCTTACTATTCCTTGAAATGTTGGCTCACAGAATAATTTGATTTTTGTATTACTGTAATGTGATTAAAATTTTTGATGCAAAACACTAGTTTTTGGCAAATGAATTGGCTTGTTTGCTGGTATGTGAGCTCATAAGGCATTCAAAAATTTCTTGAAGTATCTTCAAGAAATTTTTGAATGCCTTCAAAAATTTCTTGAAGATACTTCAAGAAATTTTTGAATGCCTAGCACAAGTTTTTGGGAATAATGAAACTTTTTGTAAATCAAATAGTTCTCAATTCTTGCATTCAATTACTCCCATCTTTAGTCAGAATCATTTTAGATTAATTTGGATTAAGTCTAGTAAAATTTTTTAGGTATATAAAAATGGCTTACAAAATAAATGTAACTATAACACTTATCTAGTGTAGTTTATAGAGTAAGAAAACAAAAAATACTAAAACTATTATTAAAAAAAAACCTGTTTATTTTATAACTATTTTCAAGCAAGCAGTTATTTGTTTGAGTCAGCAGTACACCTGAATACAGAATTTGCTATTTGCCCTTATCAAGTATCATTTGTACTGATATTTTATTGAACAATTAAATATATATATAATTGTTTATTAATAAACAGTTGTAAACAATTATTTATTTTAATTTAATCCTTCAATGAAATAATAATAAAAAATAAAACATCTGGTAGCCTTATTTCTTCTCCGTCAATTGTACAAATTTATAGCAAAAGATGCTAAGTTGTCAGGGATCTGCAAAAAAAATTTCCTTGTTTAAGGGCTCCATTTTACCAAGAAGTTTGGCAAATCTGATCTACTAGACATATTAAGTAAAATAAAAAAAAAGAATAAGATGTCCTAATGCCAGAAAGTAGCAATAAAGACAATGATCAAGACGAAAAAAAAAAGATAAAAGTAAAGCAAACATTTGCTCTCTAATTCGTAATTCAATTATAATTATGATAAAAAATATTTCTGTATTATTTAATGAAAAATCATGATTTATAAAATACATTCACTTTATAAATATTTATGTACAGAGTTAGCAAAACATCAAAGTATATATTATAAATGATATTACAAAGCTGTAAGCTTCATGAATTCAGTTACAATAGATTCACAGTAGTTTTTTATCACCATTTATTTAACATCAGTAATTATTATTAGTTATATAATTAGATATATATGTTTAAATTTTGAATACTAAACAAAAATATTTCAAAGTAAAACTGTCCTAAAAATGTATTGTTTTATTTTATTAACAGTTAAAATTTATGATAAAAAGTATTAATTCTACAATAACAAAATGATTTTATCTTGTTCAATTATTTAGTTATCAGAATAAAGCTGCTACTTTCAGGTAACAAAATTATTATTTACACACACCAAAATACACAAATATATATAAATAAATAATGTTTTGTTTACCTGAATATAGCAGTTTAATCCTGAAATTTGTAATATAGTATCAAGTTTCACATACTTTAATTTCATGACAAACTGTATTTAATTTTAGTTATAAAACAAAAATATCAAAATTTATGACAACTTTATTTATATAATATTTCGTTATACTATTGCAATACAAACTGTTATTTCATCTATTTGTAAAATATAATTATCTAATATTAAATAATGTTAAAAAACGTTTTTATTAAAAAGTTTCTTACGTGAGTTTAACTGGAAAGCCTCCATATACTGGTACTACTGGTAATCTCAGCTTATCATAAACCTTCCTGAATAATCCTTCATTAAAAAGACAAAACAACAAATAAACTTTTTCAGTCTTTATTGCTATTAATAGATTTATCATAAAATGTTTACTTCTTTCAAAGATAAGACTTGTTAACTAACCTAAATAAAACTTTTAAGCTTTAAATAGAAAAAGTGGTAGAAAAAGCTTAATTTTAATATTTACCTATAAATCTGTGTGTCACTTATGACTATTATAATTTAATCACTTTAAACTATATGTATATCATAAAAATATTTATATATTTAAAAGTTAAAAAAATATATTTTTCCTGAAATCTGTCATAAATTTGAAATTATTTCTTTAATTAAAATATATTAAGCTGATTGACCACTGAATCATTTGATTAATGAAGCTATTGATAAAATAAATATACTCATTGACAAAAACACACCAAGACAACTTGAGTACATCAGTACTGCCACATGATCACTCAAAATAAGGCTTGCAGAACACAGATATGATATTGATAAAAGAAAATACAACACTACCCTAGCCAGGTATGTTACAGACAATGATATTCAAGCCTACCTGGACAAAGCTTCTTTTATACAACAATTTAAACATGATGATCAAATCAGGATACTAGTGGCTCTCGAGATATTCAAAACTGAAAAGAAGAGCTTTTGCATCATTTTCAAGAATAAAAAATGATTGTCATGTGCGTGGCAGTCTTTATACCACCAATGACAGATGTAAAAAGTTTTTTTGTAGATTCTTGTTTATACTTATATTTTATTTTGTTACAGAATATTATGTTATTTTGTATCACATCATGTACAGTTGTGTATTATTTATTTATTTGAACGTTTTGTCTGGATGTATGTGATGATACATTTGGGCATGAAAATTTAGGCACTATATGTTATTCTGCAACAGATTAGCCTTTAGGTATTGCAACTGCAACAGATTGCTCATTCTTGTGGATGGCCAAAGCTGACATCCCAATTGGTCCCATAAATGCTACCCTAAGTAAAGAAAGTGTGGCAACATGAGACATTCCTGAAAAACCTTAACTATGTACAGTTGAGTATTATTTTGCTGGAAAATAGCTGTTTGCAGCTCTGCAATGAAAGGCAATACACAAAGGTACAGGATTTCCTGAATATACTGCTGTGCACTCAATGTTCCTTGCACCATTTCTAAAGCAAAGCAACTGTTAGACTGAGACTCTACTAGCATAAAAATGAGCATAAAAACTCTCATCGTAATTACTTTTAATCACGTAACCTATTTTGTTTTTGCTTGGATTGCAGTAGAGGTCTGGCTCTAGTGACTATACTATCAATGGTATGGTTGTATACATGATATATTAATATACAGACAATGATTATATTCTACTATTTTTTGTACTATAATTACAAATGTAGTAAAAATTTTATCTTTACTTTCATATATTAACTTTTATTATCATATTATTAAGATACTATACTGCACTATACTAAAATACTACGCTTAGCTTTTTTATTATATACTCACCTAAATTGAAGCATTTTCTTATGGTTGTCCATATCACTTGTTTTAGACATCCAATTCTTATAATTTAGGTATCTATGACAAGAGTCATCCCATCTTTTGTCATAGATACATAAATATATGGATACTTTCAATGTTTTCAATAAATCTTTCCACATTTATTCTAGGTCTTTTTGAAGTAGTCACGAGAGAGCATACAGTACATAAAAGCTTGTTTCCTGCCAATTTTCACATGATGTCATAATGATGTAGATTTCACTTACTTCTGATGATACTGTTTTATGAAGATATTCATGTCAAAAGTTGAACACTGCTCAACTCACTTTATACTCATTTTACGTCCTGTTCCAGTGTAAATATCATAGTCATGTGATTAAAAGGCATTAAAGGCAAGTTTTTATGCTAGTGGAGTATAAGACGCTTCCCACACCAGCATATCAGCAGCGGGGTCTGTGTGTCACTCAACAATAAAAACATGATTAAAGTGCTGATTAATGGTCCTTTAAATTCTAATACAGTGGGTTATCCATTCCTAAAAAAAAACATGGATTTGTCACTAAAACTGATATGCCACCAATTGGAAGCAGTCCTACTTCTCTGTCATAGTACTACTGCAAATAAAGGCAATGATGTTGGATTGCTAATGGCAGAGCTGCACATGCCAATTTACCTTTGCTAGTTGCCTACTGACTGTATGGAAGAGACAGCATTCTGTAGTGAAGCTTCTGCCTATCTCTGATGGTGGATAAATATGTTGTTGTAGCTCATTGTGCTTGTCTTGTAACTAGATAATCATCTCTCCTGGCAAGCAGATTCTGGGGTGTCCAGAATCTGCTTGCCAGGTATATTTGCTTTCATATATCTGCTGCCTCAATACATTCTTAAAGTCAGGTTAGATTGGCCTAGAAGCCAGGAAATTTGATAAAACTGTCATCCTGTTTTTCTCAGCCCAATGATGTGATCTTTCTTAAACTCAATTAAATGTATGTTTTGACAGACAGAAATGCATGCCTGGTATTGAGACCTCCAAACAACCAGCACACTGAAAGTTGTACACACAGTGAGCCTCTGAAATATAATACTAATAGAATACTGGGGTAGCAATTTTAAGACACTGGAGGTGTTACCTGGCATTCAACTGAACCACAACTGTAATTGTTTACATACCTGTCTGAAACATAGCTCAGATATTATTCATATGATTATTCATTGTCTGATAATCAGATAATTCTCTCTGGGTGTGTAACTTTTTTGTCAATGAATACATTAACACTATCATTTTAAGAGATAGTTTCCAATAGCAATTATTATTGTGAAACACTGAGGGGTAGTTTTATTGTAATACATGTAATTAATATAAATTCAATAACATACTTCTTTTTACAATACACATTTTGTTTGGCTGAAATGTAAAAAGAAGTGTGTTATTGAATAAAACATCTTTCTAAAAGCAATAATTATCCACTAAGGTCTCAATAGTAAGTGGTTAACGAATTGAGATCATCACATAATCTCAATTGCAGTATTTTAGTGTTTATATTAATTATTACTATTATTTTATAAAGCTATCTTATTTTTCTCATATATACATAAACAAATTTACTCTGAATTGCAATGTACTTATTTAACTTAATATATAGCATTAATAAATTAATTCATTTCAAAAAGTTATTGTTATGAAATCCAAAGAAAACACACAGTAATTAACAAATTATTTAATAATTTTTGTGTTATAGTAAATAATTTATGATGATTTTAATATTGTAAAATATAGAAAATAATAAACTTGTACATAAAGATTATATTTTATGATTTATTACTTACTTCTACCAATGCTAATGGAACGAAAAGACTCTCTGACATTTTTGGTGAAAATAGGAATGACTGGCTATAAAAATATTTCATTATTATTTTTTAATATATTCATTTAATATTAAATAAAATATTATATTTATAATAATGTTTCTTAAATAATTTAAGAATTGTCAATTAATCTAAGAGAAATTTTAATTTCATTTTTACAAAAGAATAGTGTTTTATAAATAAAATCACAAAAATATATCTCTATCACTACAATTTTTGCTATATAAACTTTATTCTAGTTTATCCGTATCTTATCTTAAAACTTTTTCTTGTTTTTTAAAAATTAGTCTCTCTGCTATCAAATTTTCTTTTTAGATTAGTAAAAGGCTATTTTTTGAATTTTAATGAAGTTTCTTAATTGAAATGAATAATTACTTATTTAAAGTGACATTATGCATAAGTTAAAACATAATATATTTGTATTCAATCAGACATTGCTTTCAGCATTGATCTTAATTGTAATTGATATATGATACTACAAAGTTATAGTAATCAAATTTAAATTTCACAGGTAATTTATAAAGTACTGACACTTTTCTTTGCAAATTTAATTGGGAAAAGATGTAATCTTATTTGGAAAGACATGAAATTACATAACTAATTTTCTGATATAATAACCATAAAAATATGATAATACTAAATATTATTTGTAATGCATTTATAATTTGATAGTTCTTAGTACAAATTATATTATTTTAATTGATTTTCATTTGCATAAAATTTCCTATTAATATTATCTTTTGTTATAATCAATCTCAAAAGAAATGTCAAATGAGATAGAAGATCAAAATACTTTCTGTTAAGGTATTTATTTTTGATTTGGTTTAATTTAAAAATTGCTTTATTCAATATTCTGAAACAAACACTCTCAAGAAACTGATAGTGGTGACATTTTTTGGAGTTCAAACTAAATTAATTTGTGCCAAAATAGTTTATCATTTTGTTTTGAAAAGCTTTCATATATGAAGATTCAAATGAAGTTATCAAATCTAGTTACACCATAGAGAATAAAATTTTATAATTAGTCTTTAAACATAGAAAACTTATCAAAAAATGTAAAAATAAAATATTGTATTTTGAATTTTTATAAGCATTCAAGTTTTATACTGAAACAACATTTTTAATAATAATTATTTTAGTTTAATTTAGATATATTTAATATAGAATTGAAATCTGATTCAAGTGTAATTATTCTTTAATATGTAAATTATGTATAATTTAAAATTTTAAAATAAGATTATTAAAATTATTAACTACACTACTAATGTAAAACAATCTACCAGATTATTTATTGAGCTATATTGAGGCAAATTCTAATTAATACTAATTGAATCAGGTTGTTGTATATGTTGTTATTAACCATATTATTTGAAAAATAACATCAATTTTATTTTATAAGATACATGGAATAATAATGTATGACTATTAACTAAAGTAAAGTTTATACTCAAAGTATTTGTATATATATTTTAAAAATATCTTACGACTTTAGCCTTCAGAGCAACTTTAGCAAAACCTATGCGTTTTCCCCATAATAAATGATAATTTTCATCACTAAATTGTGCTTCCAAAACACCTCCAGGTGATATTGAAAGAAGATGTCCTTCTTCCAATGTTTGGACACAGCTCTGAATTGATCCTGGTGATACTTTTAATACTTCTAATAATATATTCCATCCTGCATAATAACAATAATTACTTAATTTGTTATATTAAATGATTATAAAGTCCATAAATTATTTTTAAAAATTATCACATATCTTTTCTAAAATCATATTTATTATACAAATTATTATTTTTTTAATATTTATCGAACAGACAAAAAAAACAACTCTATCCAACTATTGTTGTATTATTTTCTTTTTTATTATTTATATATGAAAACATATAAATTTTTAAAATTAGAAATTGGTAAAATATAAAAAATATTCCAATTAAGACATCAAATCTCTAAATATCAGATTATTTCAGGCTATATCTTGGTTAACTAGTAATTACTTGAGTAAAATCATTTGTCTAAAACTAGAAATAAGTCATTGCCATGTATTAATATTTATAATATTTTAATTAATATTTATAATTAATAATCACACTAATTTTTGGATTAAAGTTAATAATAATTTAGAATATTCTGAAAGTAAAGATTGACTCAAGTGGGACTTGAACCTGCAACTTCTGCTTACTGAGCAGATGAATTATCACTTATGCTAATCAGATTTCCATTCAACCTTCACTTTTATATCAATAATTTGAGAGATATAATATGTTACAGTTCATTCACCAGACCAATTGAGGATGAATTATACTCATGTCACTCCATTTTTCAAACTATGCTTATAACCCTCAAATTAATTCAGACAGAAGTTCAGATAGGATAACTTGTAGCAGATTTGCACAGTAAGAAGTGTGGACTCAAGTCCACCTCTGTCAATTATTTTTTTATTTGTCAAAATATTTTAAATTATTAAATTTAATTCAAAAGTTACTGTAATTATTAATATTAACACAAGATAGCAACCTAACTATCTATTTTCAAACCAAATTACTTTGTATCAATGCTTAATAGTTAATCAAAAATGAAATGCCAATGAGGTTCTTTTTATCTCAAAAACATTTCTGATTTCTAACCTTTTCGGTGTTTTATCTTTGAGTTATATGAAATATGAAGCCAACAGAACCACTGATAAAACTCAGTTGGCTTAGAGTTCAGATAACTAGTCAAGACATAGCCTGAAAAAAATCCTGTATTTAGAGAATTGATTATTAAAAAGTTTAGGCTTGTTTGTTTACAAACTAAAAAGCTGTTTTTAAATTTTAAAAAAATCCAATCTGAAATAACATTATAATTGACATTACCTGGAATTCTGAATAAAAATTGATCTCCCACTGCTCTAATTAATCTTTGTTTTTCAACAAAACATTTGGACATTAAATAATAATAATCAATGGGAATTGCACCGTGGTAATAAACTAAGAGTGCAGGAGATGAATCGGGAATGTTTTCAAATCCATCAACTTCATATCCTGGAAATAGAAATCTATAAATAAAAGCAATTGATTTTGTTTTACTATACAATTTTAAATATATATAATTAACAATTAAAGTAATATAACAACAAAATTCAAATACTTTCATAAAAAAAAACAGTAATTATAAGAACTCATTAATTTTCTATCAAACATTTGGATTTTATAAATATTTAAAAATTTTAGTCACAAATACTTTAATTCTCTAGTTAGATCTAGATTAGTTAAATGGAAAGCATTAAAGGTATTAAAACTTTAAAAAAATCACTGGAATCATGCATTCAAAATAAGAAATTTGTCGCAAAATAATTTGAAAATCTATAATGCAGTTTAAAACTTGTAATTCATGTTTAATATTGTATAAGGAAATCAACATATATTTTAACAATAATATGAAAAATATAAATTAAAATTCAAATCTGTTGAAGGATATAAAAGAAATGCAAATGAAATAGGAATACTAGAAAACAATTCCAATACTCTAAGATTGATAAATCTGAGTAAGATTTATTAACCAATATGAAAACTTAATTTTCAGCAGAGTAAAAGGTTCATAGTATTGCAAGTTATTTCTTTTAGTTTCCTCATTCAATTATTAAATTATAAAATTAAAAAAGTCAATTAAGTCCAATTTGTAATGTGAACGTTTGTAGAATGTAAATGTAGAATATATGCATATCTCATTTTGCATACACAATTTAAAACTGTAAATGTGTCTAGAAGATACCTATTCAAATTTAATATTCAATTAAATCCTTTCCTGATTTGAATCTCTTGAATATTGTCAGAGAAGTAATTATTTCTAAATTGGCAAATAATCATCAGTTGTTGTTCACATAACTTTCAAATTATACATTCATAGTGATATTATTAAAGAAAAATTTTAGTGTTTTTTTCTGTATCATCAAAGTTGTATCATTTGTTATATATATAATAATGTTTTTATTCTTAACATTTTAATATATAAAAACTAGTTTATAAACCAATATTTATTATCTGGAATTTTTTATCAATGAATGCTTATTCAAAGACAAAAGTGCTTTTGTTTCAAATCATCTTACAAATATCATTTTACAACCATAGGAACATAGGGTAAACAGTACATTTATTGGCTACCAGACCATATTGGACATTTTCAATTTAAACTTTTTTAAATAAGAGTACAATAAAGTGGTTCTGGAAATATTGCATGACAGTATTAATACAAGTTTCTGCTGTTAGTAGTTAGAAAAAAATTTCCACAGGTTTTTCTGTTCTTGCATATGACCAATCTAATATATAATCGAGACGGGTTGATAATGATAATGATAATGATAATAATAATAATAATAAGCACAGAGCCCAAACAGTTAGGAGTTGAAAGTTGAAATTTGGTACACATTTAGGGTACGTCACAAAAATGCACACTAAGAAGGGATTTTTTGAAATCTCCCCCGAGAGAGAGACAGGATTAAGGTTTCGACAATGGAAGTGTTAAGTAACAATGGCAGTGTTAACAATGAAAGTGTTAAGTAACAATGGAAATATCAACAATGGAAGTGTTAAGAATGGAAGTGTCAACAATGACAGTTTTAACAATGGAAGTGTGAAGAGAANTACCGAACAAAAGTCGTATACCGAGCAAAATTTGTTTCGTCCAAACAGGATGTATTCCGAATTGGACGTATTCTAAAGCAGACGTATACCGAGGTTCCACTGTATTTCCTAACTTAATCTTTCTGCTATGTAATAGAGATTTTAAAATAAAAATTTCCTTAAGTGGCCAATAACCATATCATTTATGATAGAGTCCTAGAAACTCAACTCTTGATAACTCGACATTCCATAATACTCATTGTGTCATTCAAAAAAAAAAAAAAAATTTAAGTTTTATCTCTGTAACTTTACACTAGGATCAAATAAGTTATTGTTCTCCACTGGTGGAATTTATAATAACATCAGTTCCATATGTTGACAAGAATATAATTATTTTTCCATTGTGCCACTGTAAAACACCAAGATGCAAATGTCACTAACTCAAAAGTAGCCAACAAATAGCCAATACAGTAGAGCGTCAATTTTCCGAATCAATTGGGGATTGGGGTTGTTCGTATAACTGATATTTCGGATAACCGTTTTATGTACAAAAAAATAGTTTAACATATCCGATGTTAAAATTTTTATCCGTTGCATGTAATTTCGCGTTGAATTTTCGTCGATGTTAAGCCTAACAAAAACTATTGTATTGTTAAAAATTATTTTTTTATTTTGTACAAACAAAATAAATATATTGAAAAAGTATAAAAACAATAAAAAAAACTTATACTTCAGATGTTAATTTAGTATCAAAAACGTAAAATATTTGAGTAGCCCAAGACATAGCCAAAGATTGAAGCACCACAGCACTGGCGAAAATTTAAATTTGCCGACTGAAATGTATCATCAAAGTTGTATCATTTGTTATATATATAATAATGTTTTTATTCTTAACATTTTAATATATAAAAACTAGTTTATAAACCAATATTTATTATCTGGAATTTTTTATCAATGAATGCTTATTCAAAGACAAAAGTGCTTTTGTTTCAAATCATCTTACAAATATCATTTTACAACCATAGGAACATAGGGTAAACAGTACATTTATTGGCTACCAGACCATATTGGACATTTTCAATTTAAACTTTTTTAAATAAGAGTACAATAAAGTGGTTCTGGAAATATTGCATGACAGTATTAATACAAGTTTCTGCTGTTAGTAGTTAGAAAAAAATTTCCACAGGTTTTTCTGTTCTTGCATATGACCAATCTAATATATAATCGAGACGGGTTGATAATGATAATGATAATGATAATAATAATAATAATAAGCACAGAGCCCAAACAGTTAGGAGTTGAAAGTTGAAATTTGGTACACATTTAGGGTACGTCACAAAAATGCACACTAAGAAGGGATTTTTTGAAATCTCCCCCGAGAGAGAGACAGGATTAAGGTTTCGACAATGGAAGTGTTAAGTAACAATGGCAGTGTTAACAATGAAAGTGTTAAGTAACAATGGAAATATCAACAATGGAAGTGTTAAGAATGGAAGTGTCAACAATGACAGTTTTAACAATGGAAGTGTGAAGAGAAAGCGACGTGCAAGATTTACAGGCGCAGATGCAGTTTTTTTCATTTTTGCGGGAAATCAAACATTTTTTTAACCCATCTAAAAATTCTCTAATTAGTCTGGAAACAGTGGGACCTAATTCTTGCATTCTTTGAAAATGGGTAAGATTGTCTGTAGCATAATAATCTTAATCTTCGCTATCATTACTTTTTGACTGAGCAACGCCGTGCCTATCTGCTAGTAACTATATAATTTTGCATTTCTGTAAAACAAGGCACATTTTGGATTAAATGACTGGCATTTGTAATTTCTAAATGTTTGCAGTAGAAAGACTATAAAGAAGAAGAAAAAATAAATTTCTCAGTAAGTATAATACAGTGGAACCTCGGTATACGACCTTAATCCGTTCCTGGTGTTTGGACTTATACCGAATAGGACGTATACCAAACCAACCTTTCCCATAAGAAGTAATGTAAAAATGATTAATCCGTTCTCATGTAAAAAAAATGGCTGGCTTTAAACACCTCACTTTCCTGGCTAGTTCCTGCTTATTTTTCATGAGATCAGCATGTATCCCTTTAGCTTTCTCGCAAATAATTTCTTCCGATACGCTGTCGCCAGCGCACTGTTTTTCAGTTATCCAAAGCAAAAGCAATTTCTCGACA